GGCAAAATGCGATGTCGCTGACGGAAAACAGTTGCTTGTTTTGTATCGTGCTCTGGTACTAGCTTTTTATGGGTGGTACCCCCCAAAAAATAAAGGGACTTCTCGCTTAGATTGTGGGCTATCACGAACGCTTCAAAAATTAAATTATGACAAAGAGCTAAGAAATGGCAGTAAATGTCAATATCAGAGAGATTTCCTTATCCAGAATTTGAAAAACGATTGTTTTGCCGCGCTGAAATTACATTGAATACCTTTAATATGACACTATCATGGTTTGATATCCTGGCGGCCTGCAGTGCCGGCCTGAGTGTGTCTGGTGCAGCGGCATTAGGATCAGTTCCGCAGGCTGGCAGCTCACAGGCAACAACAATAGAGTTAGAGAGGGGACATGCCTGAGCATCGGGATGTGGAATCTGTTCGTTTGCTCTGCTTTGTCCCTAAGAGACAGACACTTCGCGACAATCGGATTACCGTAAGTACGCCATGTTTGCGGAGTCGTTTTTATATCGTTTCTACTCGACCCTGTATCGCCTGGCGGATCAGACTCGGAGTTTTGTGGCGTCGTGTGGCGTGATGGTCAGACTGGTATGGCATTCCACCCAGAACCCATAGGTCCTGGGATCAAATCCACGTACATGCCCTGATGTTGTGTCCTTGGGAAAGACACTTAACATGACTTTCATCACTTCACGCAGGTGTAAATGAGTACCTAGCTGCGGTTAGGAACGTCCCTCGGTTAGGGAGTTAAATGACAGTTCCCGTGATGGGTGATTCACTACAAATCACCCAAATGGGGTCCTCTGGTGAATTACATCATCTATTACTCCATTTAAGTCCTACCTGAACTGACAATATTTGATTTGACCCCATTTTGGCTGCCTTATGTTGTGTGCTTAGATTACTTAAATTTATTTGTTATTTCTTCCGTATTTCTTTTCTTATGCATTAATAAAAAATTATATCATCCCCCTGCCGGAGACCTGGTGACTTGTATCAGCCAACGAAAGTGTAAACCCCGACTGAGCGGTGTAACCCCGCTAGTCAACACCTACCTACCTACTTACCTTGTCCCCCACTTCACTCATGATCATACTATTAGTACATGTGTATATGCCAATTCAAGGCTTTTTACCTTCGCCAAGAAGGTTATGTTTTCAGTAGCGTTTGTCTGTGTGTGTGTGTGTGTATGTGTGTGTGTGTGTGGTTTAGCAAGATAACTCGAGAAGCAATGGATGGATTGGAATGAAACTTGGTAGGTCGGTAGGCCTTTATGAGACCTAGAAATGATTAGATTTTGGCCCCCCTGGCGGCTTTCCTAGGTACTGCAGCAGAACTTCCGGTTTTGATATCTCGTGATCTGGACATGCTAGGGTCACGAATTTTGGTTGATAGCTCTTGGGGTAGGAAAGAAGTGACATGAGTTTGGGTCCCCTAGCAGCTTGTTCTGGAACTGCAGGAGCATTTGTTGAAAAAATTTCGAAGGATGATAACTCAAGAACAGGTTGACGGATTGTCGTGATCTTTAGTATGTAGGTAGTTGAAGTGATGCTTGACATAATCAGATGATAATTATGCAAATAAGGAGCCAATTTGCGTAATTAATGAGGCGATTCTATAAATCTGCTTTGTTCGATAATAGAACTATGAAACACTTGTGACATCTACTTGAGAACGAGATAAAACATCTGAGGATATAGATTATGTAAATGAGGACCTAATTTGCATAATCAATAGCAAATTGTTATAATTTCATAGTTGTAACTGTTGGGAATTTCATACTTGCCACATTTGGAAGTTAAGTGAAGCTGAACATCAGTAAACATAATTTATTCAAATCATGACCTCATTTGCATAATTTATGAAGAAGTGCTATAATAGCCTTTTTGTTGAAATAAGTCTGTCATTGGGTGGAGATTGAATATGATCAACTGATATAATCCATGCAAATGAGGCTCTTATTTATTTAAAAAATCGATGATTAAATTGTATAATTCGTCAACCGCAAGGGTTAACATCACTTGGCGAAGGTATGAGATCGCGGAACTCTTTTTCCTCTTGTGTTGCGACGTTTGTCCAATGCTTCAAGTGAGTCTTGATTGAAGCAGGCAATCCTGCTTCATGGCATTGATTGTTTTCTACAAAGATTTACCAGACTTGTGGAAGGATTGAAAGAATAGGTCACCTGTAGGTCAATCCTGAGACCACACTATGAATCACACTATGGGTTGACTTTGAACCACTCACACCGAACCCACAGCACCGAACCCTTGCTTTTTGCGATAAGGCCACACCAAGTAAATTTTATGGATAACGTCCGCGCGCGCATTGATTTTGGCCTGTTCCTAGAAAAAAAACAAGAAATTCTGCTTCCTGTAACTATGACCAAAGAGTCACGATAGTGCCGCAAATCATCAGATTGACGTGATACCCGTAACGCGAAAACAGGACAGGATGACAACTGCTGTTCCACCTGATTTATTGCTGTTTTGATGATGACTTCTTGCTTGTTACACTGTGTCACCTCATTCAATTTGTGTCCTAACATTTGTCGTCTCTTAGTATATTTCCAATCTAGGCATCTTGTTTTTTAGGGCCCTTCTTGTTTTTTTTCGCCCTCTCGCATTAGATTTAGCGTCTCCAAAGGACGTCATCCATAAAATTTACTTGGTGTGGCCTAAGTGTGGTGGGATCATCCTTGGGCTCTTCTTGTACATGTGACCTCTGCCTTTACGTCCTATCCGAAATGGTGTCCCTAACCGAAGTTAGGTACTCATTTTCACCTGAGTCAAGTTAGCGAACCCAATTGGATTAGATCCTGGCTCCTGACGGCCTGAGGACGACAGCACTTCCACCGTGAGGATTATACGATGCACGCAAAAACAACATCTGAAAACACGGTAAACACCTACTCCGTCTTACCGCGGTGGTCGAAAGGAATAATCCTACACGGTCCAGCAATCTGGTCACCAGTCGGATAATGCGGGCAGCAAAAAGGCACCCAATGCAATTTCAGGGCGGCAAAGCAAAAAAAAAAAGGATAAGGAAATGTGCCTAATATTTACTGTCATTTCCTGAGCATACTTGACGCGTTTGGAACAGCACAACAGCAAGCTACGGGCATCTCTTTATTTTTGGGGTACCACCCATAAATAGCTAGAACCAGTCTATGATACAAAACAAGCAACCATTTTCCGTAAAACGACATTGCAGGTGACAGGAGCCTAAATGCCTACTATGACATTGCAACATTATGTAACCCAACGCCAGTTACTATGGTGACAGACGTCAACAAAAGAGGCCATTGGCCAGATCAGAGGTCACTGTTTGGAGAAGAAGAGGAAGAGGAAGAAATTGAGCAAAAACAATATGTTTTTCTTCGGTAAACATAAATAAACCCTGTACCTGGTCCCCCTGCGGTTCGTCCGTGGCCTGTGTTGTTGTGTGCAGGTCGCAGTAGGCCGGCTCCAGGTAAAACAGAGAACCGTCTGGCTCAACCTGATCAGACCAGACTGGTGGAAGCGTGCTGGTGATGGTCAAAAAAATAATAAACATAATTAGAATAAGAACATTACATAACTACTACAAGGGGCTAGGTTGGCTTATCTAGTGGGTTTTCAGGGTACTTTTAAACGTCAGAAAAGAGGATATTATCATGAAAGTTCATCTGTGTTGGTAGTAATCATAGTAAAACAGATTCAAATGACTTATCATGGGAGACAGTAACGTTAGACAGTTAAACAAAGTTAAACAAAGATTAAATTTTAAAAAACACTGTCGTCTTCATCAGAGGATATTGTTTGTATATTTTTCTGAAGACTGCTCCATATTGTGAAGCACAGGACATAGAGATTTTCTTCTTACACAACCCGTAATGTATCTCACGTGCTTGTGTAAGACACCTTCCTCAGAGCTTCTGACTGGACTTCTGCTTCTCGCCGCTACATGTAGCCGATATAGGTGGCGCTTTTGCAACTACATACGGGTTGTGTTAAGAAATCCCATATCCTATGTCCTACCAACCTGATGAAATAATTTTCGGGCATATTGCGAAGCATTTGTATGTGACTAAAGATTTAAGGTAAAAGGTCTTAGAAGTGAACTTACTGCATATCATTCTTTTTTTGACCATCACCAGCACGCTTCCACCAGTCTGGTCTGATCAGGTTGAGCCTGACGGTTCTCTGTTTTACCTGGAGCCGGCCTACTGCGACCTGCACACCGGCACAACAACACAGGCCACGGCCGAACCGCAGGGGGACCAGGTACAGGGTTTATTTATGTTTACCGAAGAAAAACATATTGTTTTTGCTCCGTTTCTTCCTCTTCCTCTTCTTCTCCAAACAGTGACCTCTGACCTGACCAATTACATGATTTGTTGACGTCTGCCACCATGGTGACTGGTGTTGGGTTACATAATGTTGCAATTTCATGGTTTGCTCTGCTCCTGTCACCATATACTAGTAGTACATGTATGTGGATGTGTTTGAGTAAGAATTAACAGAGCAGACCATGTCCGAAGGTAAACATTATGCCTTTGCTGTGCAAATGTTACTTCTCTAGTGTTAACTCTTTTTTACTCTACTCTACAAACTGCCGTATCTTCGATATTGTGTTTTACCTCATTTCACTCTCTGGAAGATTTGATTAATCACATTAACATTATAGGTTCTATTGGTGCACCAGCCATTTTCATCTTATGTTCGCTGTACGTTTTGTACTTGTAACCCCAACTTTGTGATTATGTTCTTTATGTTTTATGTAGCACAGAATCCTTATAAATAAGCACACTATTGTGCTGTCTCTCCAATGCCTTCAAATCCATGGGAATAAAATAAATAAGTAAATAAAAAAGTAAATTAACAAAACTTTCCTTTAGGCCACAGCGAGTAATTTTTACTTTCGCCAAGAAGGTTGTTTTCAGAGGCGTTCGTGTGTGTGTGTGTGTGTGTATGTGTGTGTGTGTGTATGTGTGTGTGTCTGTTTGTCTGTAAACACGATAACTTGAGTTAAATGGATTGTCCTGATATTTGATAGGTGGATAGGTCTAGATTTTTGGCCCCCTGCTGGCTTTTCTTGGTACTGCAACGGAACTTCCAGTTTTGATTTCTCATGATCTAGACATGCTGAGGACACGTAATTTGAATGATAGGTAGCTCTTGTGCTACAAAAGAAGTAACATAAGCTTGGGTTTCCTAGCGACTTGCTCTGGAATTGCAGGGGGGTTTGTTGAAAAATACTTAAAGGAGGATAACCCAAGAACCGATTGAGGAATCGTCGTAATTTTTATATGTTGGTAGCTTACGTGATGCTTGACATAATTAGATGATGATTATGCAAATAAGGCTCTAATTTGCATAATTAATAAGGAAATGCTCTAAAACTGTGTTCCATGATAAAACTGAGCAAACGCATGTCATATATGTAATTGAGAACAGCTGAACATCAGCAGATACCAATTATGTACATGAAGACCTAATTTGCATAATTAATGAGAAAAATTTTGGAATTCCATACTGGTAACTGCTGGGAATTTCACATTTTCAGCATTTGGAAGTTAAATGAAGGTGAACATTATTAAGCTTAAATCATTCAAATCAGGACCTCATTTGCATAATTTATGTGAACACGATAGAATGGCCTTCTTTGTGAGGATAAGACTGTCATTAGGTGGATGATATATATTTCATGATGTAATTCATAACAGGGAAATGATCTTATTTGTGTTGTCAATGAGAACATAATTCGCCAGTTGTAAGATGAACATAATTTGGCGAAGGTATGAGATCGTGGAACTCTAGTCATTGATGACATCAGCGCGCATTGATTTTCGGCCGTTTCCCCCAAAAAGTTTTCAACCATACTGTAAAACGTACAAAACAGTTGCAAAATAAGAAAATATATACCGTAAGTTACAAAAAAATATTGGAAAACGATATGTCGTAGAATGCCAAAATCAAACGAAAAAGACGAAAATGTAAAAAATGAATTCGAAGAGTAGATTATTCGCCATACCATACTCTGTGTCATTTGTTCAACCTTCATGAACACGTAGATTTCATGTTGAATTTTTTTTTTATTCGCACGCTGGCATCAGTTTTGGGGTTCCCAGAGGATGTCATCCATATAAACAAATCCACATGGCCTGATATCAGAAAAAAAAGAAAAACAACGTTTTCCCCTCCGATGGTGGTTACTCATGTGGTACATACATGTAGGTAGCCGTCATTAGTACTTGTACATGGGCAGAAGTCATCAGTTGTTTCAGTGACAAGTGGATGTTGCAATAGTTTGGACAATATAGGTAGAATGTCATTAGATAAACGTATGTTGGATACATCAGTACTGCTTAATGAGGCAGGTCATGCATGGTAGTTCTAATACCGGTTTTGGCTTGCAGACAGTTCAGTTAGGCCGTGTTCATGTGAAGTCAGTGAAGGCGCTTTACATGTGGTTTACCCCGAAGCCGGTTTCAAGTGGCTTCCTTCTGAACGCTCCAAATCACATTGAAAGCGCCTCGATCCCAAACCACTTCTAGAGGTGGTGTCGAATCGGTTTTCCCGCATCGCGATTTGCATCTGAACGCAATGTGATTTCAATGTAACTTCACCTGGTCATGGATTACGGGGTGATATTTCCTTGCTTATATGTAGTACCAACTTTTACGTGGCAGCAACTTAAAGAGCAGTAATGGTCAAATAATGTGTCCGTTCTAGGGCGAGCTTCATCGCCTCTGGCGGGATCACGTCGGCATTAGGCCGAGATACGCTGGGAGGGGGGCATCAGCAAGCAGGTCGTTGACCTCTGACATTAATAACAAGCTACCTTGCGTGTTTTCATCAAACAACAATAAATGTAGCTCAAGCGAATTGTGATCGGACACGGTTTCAAAGGAATGTGTGGCACGTGGACCAGATGTGAGGAATGCGAGTTACCCGAATCGCGGTTTGGGTGACTTCACATGAACAAGGCTTTAATGAGTCAATCTAACAGTGATTGATCTCTGAGTTACAGTATCTGTATGCTGAGACCATCAGGGATCCAGCAAACGTCAGGCACAATTGTTTACATTGCTGCCCATTGTGATACATGACAAGTTCATATCTACATTTCTTCTATTTAATTGACAGCTATTCACATGTACGAGGGCAGGTACACATGTCAGATCATGTGATACTGTTGAATACAGGAATATAACAAGTGTTAGTTGTGATATCATGATTTGTCGCCTGAATTCTTGTTTATAACAAGGTTTATGGTCTAAAAATTTGAAAATGTAAGAATTTTTTGCTATATCGCATTAGATGTATGTGGACGATGTCATCCATGAAATTTACTTGCTGTGGCCTTAGCTGCCTACTCACTAGTGACAGTTATTTTTCCAGGAGAGGGTAGAGTACACAAGGACATAGGAATACTTCAACATACAATTACATACGATTACATTGCATGCAATTGTTTTTTAAGTTACGAGAACTTGGTTATGAATCGTATGTGCTTTACTTTTTCTTGTCCCTTTTGTTGATATAAAGGCTTTCATCTACTGTCTCCCATGATGTCCTTTGAATCAGTTTTACCAGGTACTGAGATCACATCTCAGGATCAGTCGCCCTGATTTTGTATTTTACATTGTTTATACAGGGCCCTGGAACCACGACTAAACTACCTGATGAACAGACACAAGACCCAGAAACCAAGGCAAAACTGCTTGATGAAAGTCAAGGGAAGATCAGCCGCATAGGTCGAATAAAGGCACTGATCCAGAGGGCTTCAAAAAGGAAACAAAAACAGAAAATTGTTGTCTCTGCAAGACGCGATGACAAGACGAAGAAACAAAGTGACGACTACTCGCATGGCACATGGGGGCCCAAAATGTAATCATTCTGAGGCCATATCAAGACCTATCTAAGCCTTCTCGAGTTATGGTCACACGCACACACACACCGTTACACAAACAAACACACAAACACACACACACACACACACACATGCACACGCACATACACATACACGCACACACAAACGTTACCGAAAACATAATCTTCTTGGCGAAGGTATAATGACATAATAAGTGTGTGATGAAACAAAAGAATGGACCGTTCCAGATCGAACGCATCGAATCCACTGTTCTATTTCGAACACCTCCGTCAAACTCAGCGCGGGAAATCTAAAGGCAGCAAACTGAGTTGATGTCTGCTTAATAAAGACTCCTTGTTTTACATGTGAAACTGAATTTGTGACATTGTATGCACTTTCAAGTTGATTAAGGACGTTCTGTTATTCTTCAGTTGTTCATAAGCTATCATTATTGTTTATGTCTGTGTTTGCGTGCTTATTTTTCTACTTGTACCACAAATCCCTTTATAAGTTGCGCCCTCCCTCGTGAGTCCCCGTGAGTTTTTATTTCCCATTTCGTATTTTTTCCGAGCTTGTATGCAGCTGTAATACATGCAGCAAATGCCGTGGAAAACCTGTTACAGATAAACGTACTCTGTTTCATACATGTATCGGCTGTTAGTCATCAACCGGGCACTCTTTTCCACCTACCGTGTGATGCTATGCGGCCAATCCCGCGTCTGTATTGAGCGAAAACATTTTGCTCTCATTGAAACTACCTCTGTCCCCTCCTAAAATAATTCTACTCTGCGGATGTACCGTTCAACAAATATAGATTAACCAATTTTTTGTCTCCTGGGAGAGTTTTTCGCTGCCGAAAAATCGACCCTAAAGTTGGGCTGCAAATCCGACATTCTGGCGGCGGCAGTCGGTACGGCCCTTCCCGCGCTGATTTTGTTCGAAATAGAACATGTCAGGGGTTCGATGTGTTCGATCTGGAACGGTCCATTCGGAGTTCATACCTCCATGGAATATATACAACTTTTGTAAATGACTATTTTTTTTGGGGGGGGGGGTTGTCTCATTGATTATGGAAATAAGGTTGTAACTAGTATTTTTATTTTATGGTTTTCTCGATTCAACATTACATATATTTAACAGGTGAAATCGAATATTTCATTTTAATATTTCATCATTAATTGTGCACATTACCTTCATGCTAACATAATATGTAATGTTACATAGTGATATCAATTAATTATAATAACCTTCATTGTACATTCATGCCCAATCGGGCTAAATACAAGAGAACAGATGAAACAGCTCTAAAACTACACTAATACAGAGGTTCGGCTTCTCGTTTCTTTGTGATGTTAGAAATATAATTTGAAATGGGTTTGTTTAATTAGGATGATCAAAGCGCATAAGAAAGATAAATTTTTCAATATTAGTCAAGTATTGGAAGTATGGAAACGTACTTGTAATATATTTAGAAAGATCATTTCTATCATTTTTTAACTATATAAACTACAATCAATAACAAAGTGGGCTTCATCTTCTACTTTGTTTGAGCTACAAAATTGGCAAATTCTTTGCTCCAGAGGTGTGCGGTTGTGCCTTCCTGTTTCGATGCGGAGTTTATGACAGCTGATATTAACCTTTATTTTTATCATATAGCCAGGTGGCGTTGACCAATCAGAAGCCCCCATTTCATATTGGTTATGACACCATAATGTCACAGTTAGCATGATACAAGTATTGCAAAATCATCCCAAGTGTGCTTTATTCTCACAAGTGTGCCTTTGTGGCAGAATAATGCACACCCTGGAGCAAACCATTATGCAGGGGTGTTGACTCTTTTTGCTGACATTTATAGCACATTTCCTTGTTGAATAGAAATGTTTACCGTCTTGTCATCAACCAAATTTATTTAGCGATACATAACAAAATAAAGACCATGTCAGTACATGTGAATTTTGAGCGAACGAAAAAAATATTTTGCGCCATTTCCCCACCGGTGACCAATTTGATACTGTCTTACCCCCTTATATCAATGACTTTTGAACCATATTAATGTTAATATTCATGTACATATTAATGAATGTCAATGTACAACAAGAAGTCATTCAGTCTATGGCTGCAAAGGTCCTGTTTTTTTAATAAACCATTTCATTGATCATTTGTGGAGTAAACAACAAACTTGCGTGATGTAAGCAATGCCCAATATTCCTAATGCAACTAGATAATACAACATTCCATCGAAAAAACATACTTTTTTATCTCTACTGCATATAAGGCCATGTTGATTTGATTATATGGATGACATCCTCCAGGAACCCCAAAATTGATGCGCGCATGCGAATAAAAAAAAAGTTTTGCAAAAAAAAAAGTTCTTTTCATTATTAAATCTACGTGGTCATGAGGGTTGAGCAAATGGCACGTTTGGCGAATAATCTAGTCTTCAAGTTCATTTCTTTACAATTTCGTCTTTTTCGTTTGATTTTGGCATTCTACGACATTGGTATAGTTTTTATTAATTTTTTTAACTTATGGTATATTTTTGCTCATTTTGCAACTGTTTTGTACGATTTACAGTATGGTTCAAAACTTTTGTTTTTGGAAACGGCCGAAAATTCATGCGCGCGCGGATGTCATCCATATAATCAAATCAACATGGCCTAACTGAAACGCAAGAGGTTGAATCTATCTAATGATAGTTAGACAAGTGTTATTTTGTATCTGTATGTTAACTGTGTCATGTTTTTAACTCCAGGGAGTGTAATTATGACTCCAGGGAGTGTAAGAACAGTATATGTGATGCTGACCACCATTTTGATTGCAAAGGTGTTGCGAGAGGCATGACCAGTGCTACAGAGGTACTAGTAGTACGATAGTTGTGGGAGGACTAGTCGTCATCGTACCTGTTCTGGGGCTGTCAGTTGTGTGTGTGTGTGTCGTGCGTGTATGCGTCATGCATGTAAGTGTCGCGTGCCTGTGCGTGCGTGTTTGCGCGTGTGAATGTGTGTACTACAGTATGTGTGTATGTGTGTGTGTGTACTACAGTATGTGTGTACTACAGTATGTGTGTATGTGTACTACAGTGTGTATGTGTGTACTACAGTATGTGTATGTGTGCACTACAGTGTGTATGTGTGTGTGTGTACTCCAGTATGTGTGTATGTGTGTACTACAGTGTGTATGTGTGTACTAGTGTATGTGTGCACTACAGTATGTGTATGTGTGTACTACAGTATGTGTGTGTACTACAGTGTACATGTGTGTACTACAGTATGTGTGTATGTGTACTTCAGTATGTGTGTGTACTACAGTATATGTGTATGTGTGTGTACTACAGTATGTGTGTGTGTACTACAGTATGTGTGTGTACTACAGTATGTGTGTGTACTACAGTACGTGTGTATGTGTGTGTACTACAGTATATATGTGTATGTGTGTGTACTACAGTATGTGTGTGTGTACTACAGTATGTGTGTATGTGTGTGTACTACAGTATGTGTGTGATTATGTGTGTGTGTGCATGTGGTTTGTGCTGTGGTTTGCGCATGCGTGTGTAATACAGTATGTGTGTGTTATGTATATATGCGTGTGTATGTGTGTGCGTGCGTGCGTTTGTGCGCATGTTTGTGTGTGTTGTGTGAGGCGTTATACAATAAGAAACAAGTCAGGCAATAAAACTATTATTGCCTAGGTGACGATTGAATAATTATTGCCTTCGTCAAGGTTATGTTTTCAGGGGCGTTCGTTTGTGTGTGTTTCATTGTTTCTGAACACGATAACTTGAGAAGGCCTTGATGAGTTGTCTTGATATTTGGTAGGTGGGTAGGTCTTGATGAGACCTCAAAATGATTAGATTTTGGGCCACCTGGCTGCATGTCATGGTACTGCAGCAGAACTCCCGGTTTTGATATGATATGCTACGGTCACGAAATTTAGATAGGTAGCTCTTGTACTGGGGATGAAGTGACATAGGTTTGGGCCCCCTAGCTGCTTGATATGAAACTGCAGGGGCATTTGTTTAAAAGTGTTTAAAGGATAACTCAAGAACCGATTGATGGATCGTAATGATTTTTCGTTTGTAGGTAGCTTAAGTGATGCTTGACATATTACATTTATGCAAATCTGGATGTACATGTAACTTGCATAATTTGTGAAGAAATTCTATAAATCAGCTGCATTCCATGATAGGACCATTCAAGCTTGTTACATATGTCATATGTAATTAAGAACGAAACACAGGCAGATATTGATGATGCAAATTAAGACTTGATTTGCATAATTAATGAAAAAAATGTTATAATTCCAAAGTGGTAACTGCCTGGAATTTCATACTTAGGGTACTTGAAAGTTAATTAAGCTTGGTAAATACGACAGATACTAGAATGTGATACTCTGGTGGGTGTTTATTTTGAAAGCTTGAGGTTTGCCTTCCAAGTATGTGTTTGGAAGGTAGTTCCTTAACCCTTGTCCTGCTGAGCGCAACATTTGTCGTTCTGCACATACAGTACCATCTATATAGCACCCTGTATAGGTACTATTTGGGGGTATTTCTCGTGCAACGCATCACACACCGCAGCAAAACGCAACGAATGCGGAAGTAAGTATGCCACTGCAGGACAAAAAAATTTGGGGGTCTATGATCTAATTAAGACATGAAATTATTGAAAAATATTGTGCCAGGAATGTCAGCAGGACAAATAAACTGTAGGACTTTCAAACAGAAATTTGAATGGTGTGATATGTGAACTGGAGAACCCATGCAGAAAAGTTCTCAGTGGTGGGACAAGTAGTTTGTTACTAGTATTCTGATCCTTTCAGAACCACTTTTACAAGTATTTATCTAAAAGTCTAAAGACAACAAAGCGTAAAACAAACAACACCTGTGAAGTAGACCAGGGGCACAAATATGCATTTAATGTTCTGGTACAATTTATATATATATAGTTCACTTGAAGTGTGCAGAAGAGAAGAAATTTAGAAATATCACTAATTCTTCCATTCAAACATGACAGGCCTTGTTTGGTAAGACACATGAAGGGAAACATACAGAAAGTTCAGTGCAGACAGTAACAGTGCACATATCATGTGCTGAGGCCTAGGAAAATGTATGTCGTGTTTCCAGTTTCAGCACAGAAAAAACTAGGGTCTGTATAGGTACGAGTTTTGGTGTTTTCTCATGTTTTTTTTTAAAGTTTTTATTTTAGATTTTGGCTAAGATGATTGAACAAATAAAGTTTAGCAATGCATCGGGACTGTTTCAAGGACCCATCCACCTGCATGTTTACTTATGGACAAATATTTCACTGATTTACAGATGAAAAATGCTTAGGACGACAAAAAATGACATTTCAAACTGAGGGTTTGAAATTGAGATGTCAGATGGAAAATTTCATAATCTTACCAGCGGTAGAAAAGAAGAAAAGGC